AGTGTAAAAATTCACAGCTCTTTGAGAAACAGAAGGTAAGAAGAAAGGCCCTTCACCCCCACCTGACCAATGGAGATAAACAATGTACTTGCCAAAAGGTACTTGATCCCAGGGGACTTTCTTACCACAGAGAACAAAGAGAGGTAAGGACAAGAAAAAGTAGATTTCTTTAAATTACTCAATAGGAGATAGTAAAACCTAGGTGACATTCCAGAAGATTATGCACTCCATAGTACTCAAATAATGAGGAACTGGGAAAGGGATCTTGTACTGTAGGAAATAAAACACTAGTTGTACCCAATCTGAGGATCCCTGATCTCCAGGCACCTGATCTTGAAAGACCAGCATTGAAGTAAAGCCTGGCTTTTGCTGTAACTTGTGTCTTTTAACCCATTCTTTGGGCTTGAACAGGTGAGTGTGTTTCTCACAAAGGGAACTACCAAATCATAATTTTCTTAGGAGAAAGCCTACAGGTCAGTAGGAAGAGGGAGGAGATTTAAAATACTAGATGGAAAACAAACAGGGGTTGGGGATGTGGCTCAAGTGGTAGCACACTCTCCTGGCATGCGTGAGGCACTGGGTTCGATCCTCAGCACCACATAAAAAAATAAACTAAATATATTGTGTCCACCTAAAAAAACTAAAAAGTAAATATTAAAAAAAGAAAACAAACAAACAAACAAAAGACCCTGCCAACTAAGAAGACTATACCGGCAAAATCACCTTCAAATACTGAAAACCGGTAAAGAAACAAAAGCTATGGGAGTTTTATTACCCCTCCATGTGACTAAAAGACGTTTTTTCAAGTTCAAATGGCCAAGTTTTTTTTTCAAGTTTCAAACATGAAAACATACTAACTAACTATAAAGGCAAGTATATCATCAAAATCCTATTGTTCTAATACTATATTGGTGGTGAGTGAATCACTTTTTATTTTAATATAAATGTTAAGGATGAGAGTAACATCAACAAGATGGAAGAACAGAAGTTCTTTGGTTCCACTCTCTTCTAAAAAACCCAGCTAGCAAATATCCACAGTCAAGAATGCCCCTGTGAATATCCCAGAACTCAGGGTTGACAGACACACCCTCTTCATTGCAGAGCTGAGAAAAGACATGGAAAGAGGAAGGTTCTCTGACCACATCAGCCCTCCCCCAAGCCAATGTGGTTATCACAGATGGACAATTCCCCTGGACCAGCGGTTTCTACAGTGGGAGTGAGTTGGAAGGAGGCATTCGGCTTCCTCACCATTCCAGGACCCATCACAGGAAGTTCAATCCTGTCTCATTTCAAAGTGAGACTGAATGAAATTAAGAAGCTTCTGCATAGCAAGAAAACCAACAGAAGGAAGAGGTAACATCTGGAAGGGAAAGAATATTTCTAAGCCATATAAGGGCTGTGGGAATAGAAAAATATCAAATAATCTGATGTTTTAAAAATGAGCAAGCCCAGTGTGTTCAAAGCCAGCCTCAGCAAAAGCAAGGTGCTAAGTCACTCAGTGAGACCCTATCTCTTAATAAAATACAAAATAGGGGTGGGGATGTGGCTCAGGGTCACTTGAGAGCTCCTGAGTTCAATTCCTGTTTGTTGTTGTTTTTTTTTAAAAAAAGGGCAAGGAATCTGAATATGCATTTCTTAAAAGAAAATGTACAAATGGCCAGCAATTATATGAAAAAAAAAGCTTGGGCATAATTAATTATCAGGGAAATACAAACCAGAATTACAATCAGATATCATCTCACAAGAAAAGTAAAAAAAAAAAATGGAGTAATAAATCAATTATGGAGAATTAAGAAATTTGGACTTTATTTTGTGAATAATGACACCACTGTTTTTATATTTTCATTTTATTGTATTGTATTTTTTTAAGTACTGAGGCTTGAACCCAGGGGGACACTTTGCCATTTAGCTACATCCCCACCCCTTTTTATTTTTATTTTTAGACAGGATCACTAAGGCTGGCCTTGAACTAATGATCCTCCTACCTCATCATCCTGAATCACTGAGTTGGCAGGCGTGCTCTTCTGGGCCCAGGTCTGTTGATGGCTTTTGAGCAGGCAAATAAATAAGATCAAAGCTACATTTGAAGAGTTATTAGGGAGTGAGGTATATTGAGTAAGAGGTAATAAAGGTCTAAATAATTTTTTCCTAAAAATGTCAAAGTGAGGACATTTTTATTCATTTTCATCAGATTTGTACAGAAACAAGTGTTCCTAGGGTGTGCATTGCTGATGTCCTCGGTATTTTATACCACTTGGTCTAAGCATTCATTACCACCTGGTGTTTTAGTCATACTATGTAAACCTTGAATTACATAAGGTAGAAATGGAAGGGACACTAATTAATAAAACTAAATACTTTTTGCATGTATGAATATGCCACAATGCACCACCACCAAAACCCAAAAGTTCATAGTTTACATTAGAGTTTATTCTTGTGTTGTACATTGTATGGGTTTTGATAAATGTGTAATGGCATGTATCCACCAGTATAGCACCATACAGAATAGTTTCACAGTCCTAAAATCCTCTGTGCAACGCCTATCATCCTTCCCTCATCAAAGCACTTGGTTCTAATTTAACTTCCCCACCCTCATTGTCATTGTCTGACACAAAGGCATCCTAATCCCAGAACAAAAGACAAATGACAAAATAAATATTTTGGTAGTGAGGGTTAGCAAGGAAATATTGGGGGTGGTGGGTTATAAGGGAATCTATTCCTGAATTGTTTTGTTTTTTTTAAAGAGAGAGTGAGAGAGATAGAGGTAGAGAGAGAGAGAATTTTTTAATATTTATTTTTTAGTATTTGGCAGACACAACATCTTTGTTTGTATGTGGTGCTGAGGATCGAACCCGGGCCGCACGCATGCCAGGCTAGTGCGCTACCGCTTGAGCCACATCCCCAGCCCCCCGAATTGGTTTTTTAAGTAAGGAAAACAGAATATGAACAGAGTATATTACACAGGACATTTGTATATAGAGAAAAGAAGAAATTGGGTTTGTAACAGTAATGACCAGAAGCAATCAAAGCAATAAAAATAAAAAATGAAGTAAATACTTTTCTCATGCTGAGAAACCATTCAAGTAATTTAAATATTAATGTTTCTTCTACTTACCTTTCATATCTAAAGAATCTTATCATGCTAAGTGCTTTTTCAAAATCCTATAAATTTTCATTTAATACCCTACAATGTTTGTAACTCAACATTTTCTTGCCAGGCACGTAATACATACCTATAATCCCAGGGACTTACACAGGAGGATTGCAAGTTCAAAGCCAGCCTCAGCAATTTAGCAAGGCCCCAAGCAACTTAGCGAGACCCTGTCTCTAAATAAAATATAAAATAAATAAAACATAGTAAAAGGGGGACTGGGGATGTGGCTCAGTGATTAAGCACCCCCTGGGTTCAATCCCTGCTATTAAAAAAAAAATCTCATTGAGTTCTGTATCCTTCAGTATATGGAACAACAGAGATTATGAATAGTTTCTCAACTTCATGTCAGAACATTTGGGAATGTATTGTGTGTCTCATTTTTCCTCAAACTATGTCTTCTGGAAGTTTCTAGGTTCTGTATTCCAAATGGTCATGCTCTTTGTAAGTCAATGGTACCTTAAAGAAGTTTGCCATCTCTACTGGTTTCTCAAAGAATGTGTAATCATTAGCTTCTTAAAGACCCACTGGCTTGGAAGAGAAGTTTTTCCCTAATGCTACAGAGGCCAAGTCCCAAGAGAATATGAGATAAAGAAAGCACATTCTTAATTTTTGTGCAGCAGTAAAAGTCATTATCTAGTGATTATAAAATAAGTCATTTTAAGATTTAGGTCATATCAAAACTGTGATGGCTTCATTTTGGGGGTACTGCTAAAAGTTGTGACACCTCTAAGTCATTCTCCTCTTATTCCATAATTTCTTAAAATTGATTTATTAATGCTTCTGGTTTACAGTATTTTAAAAAGAGATACCTATAATGAAAAGACGAATAAATATAGCTTTCTCTTGAGGACTTCCCAGAGCATCAGTGTGCAGACAAGGCTGGAAGGAAAAACTCTTGAAAATTTTGTTTTGCCTAAAATATAAGCCCTAACAACTTTCAGGACTAATATCCCTGTATATTTTTTAAAGTTTTTTTTTTCTCATGTAACAAATCCCTGACATCTTTCTCATAAAATGTGGGATGAAGGAAATTTATGACAAAAGAAAATATTTGACTTATTTATTAGAAATTTTTAGTTTTACACAGGCATATGAGAAAAATCAACCCCAATATTCTATGGGAGGAAAGAAAATACATTTAAAAAGGAAGTTTCATGCTTGGATCTTATTTTTCAAACTTCTCCACATATTGACCAAATAAATATAACATTGCTGTGTTAATATAGGACATCTATCAGCCTATGAAACAAAGTGAAAGATCAGGCAAAAGCTTACAGACTCTTTTTCTTCAGAAGATCTTGCAACATTACAATATCAAAAGTCAGTATTGGTAAGTAACTTTATAAAATTGCAGTTTTATGGTGCTCAAGCTAATAGCAACCATGGAAACTCAGTCATAATGGCTTTAAGGTGATTTCTACTCACTTACTATAAAATATGTTCATTTCTGCATATTTAAATAAAGTTAAGTAATATATTTAACTGAACTATAAATATTATACTATAAGTAGGATTTGGGCTAAGAAACAAATACTTTTATTAAGGGTCAATTTTTGTGTTACATGTTTGCCAGAAACTATATAGATCATTCCTGACCCAAAATAACGGACTTACAAAATGAGTTTAATTTTATCTAGTTCAACTGTGGTCATATAGGAAGAAATTTAGAACAGGCAAACATTTGTTTTTGTGTGGAAAACTGGTATTTTTTAAAAAATCAGTGTATACAACCAAGAAAAAAATTAAAGTATGATATATTTTGACAATTCTTTTTAAAATGATCCATGTCTGTTCTTGTCTCTTTACTCATAAAAAAGAGACACATTTTAAACTATTAGTAATATGTCTCTTGATCTTGCAGGATACCGACCTAATGAATATCTCTGAGCCAGAGTCCAACTTTGCTTCTGTAAGAGAATTTATACTCCAAGGTTTCTCTTGTGAGTGGAGGATTCAGATCTTCCTCTTCTCTCTCTTCACTACAACCTACGTGTTCACCATAACTGGGAATGGGACCATTGTTTGTGCACTGTTGTGTGACAAGCGACTTCACACCCCCATGTACATGTTCCTGGGGAATTTCTCCTTTCTAGAGATCTGGTATGTCTCTTCTACTGTCCCCAAGATGTTGGTCAACTTCCTGTCAGAGAAAAAAACCATCTCCTTTGCTGGGTGCTTCCTCCAGTTCTATTTCTTTTTCTCATTGGGTACATCTGAATGCTTGCTTTTGACTGTCATGGCCTTTGATAGGTATCTAGCTATCTGCCGTCCCCTGCACTACCCTAATATCATGACTGGGAATTCCTGTATCAAACTGGTCATTATCTGCTGGGTTTGTGGGTTTCTGTGGTTCTTAATTCCCATTGCCCTCATCTCTCAAATGCCTTTCTGTGGACCAAACACTATTGACCATGTTGTGTGTGATCCAGGGCCACTCTTTGCGTTAGCGTGTGCCACAGCCCCAGGAACTCAAATGCTATGCTACACTTTAAGCTCATTAGTTATCTTTGGTAACTTTTTCTTTATTCTTGGGTCCTATACTCTGGTCCTGATAGCTGTGCTACGTATGCCTTCAGCCTCTGGAAGACATAAAGCCTTCTCCACCTGTGGGTCTCACTTGGCCGTGGTATCGTTGTTCTATGGTTCTCTGATGGTCATGTATGTGAGCCCAGGACTGGGACATTCTGCTGGGATGCAGAAAGTTGCAACACTGTTTTATGCTATGGTGACCCCACTATTTAACCCCCTCATCTACAGCCTCCGAAATAAGGAAATAAAGGCAGCCATGAGGAAAATTATGGGGATTCCTAACATAATCTGAGGTCTATTGGATGGTTTCTGTATGATCAGGTCAGTATAGTCAAACAAGATGCATTAAGAATTATATAGTTATCCATATCTACAAATGTGAATAGTGATATTTACTATATTAGCTATGAAATTAAACATCTGTAGGCCCCTTTGTAGAATTAAAGTGGCCAGATTACATAGATAAATGGATGCCTGTGGCTTCTTGTTTGAACTTGTGTATATTAACTGAGGAAGGTACATGTTGGGTGTTTTCTGGATAGTTTTCATAAGTAAAAAACTTCTTCTGTTCTATTTGATAATATAAATTTATAGTTATGAGATAAATAAAATTATAAGTATGTCATTTGGTTTGTTTTGTTAGTTGATTATAAATAAAAGGAGGAAAATATAGTTTCTTGATTGTGGTTCTTACCCTATGTGCCTTTATTATATGGTCATTCCTGATAAATAAGCCCTTGAATGATTTATTAAAATTTTTATGGGACAATAAAATATTCTAGCCTAATGATATCTAAATGTATGCTGTTTTATTTATATATTACCTTTTTCTAAGCCTCTAAGGAGAAGCTTCTAATTTTATGTACAGCAACATCAGTTGGAATTATTAGAAATACAGTGTCCTGGGCACTTAATTTTTTACCTAAATGAGGAATCACCAAAAACTTCATGGGTCCTTTGAGTTTTAGATAATAGAATATTTTCTCCTAAGTATCAAACAGGGAAATTACTTACTTGGGGATAAATTGCAAAAGCTCCAAAAAAAAATGACTATTCATTGTTATTTGTTGTTGAAACTGTGAAAACAAATTAAGAAAAAATTTTAAAGGAGAAAAGCATCCAGAATTCAATATAATGTAGCTATTTTTATTTATATGTGTTTTGTTTAATATAATGTGGAATTTGTTTCCATATTATAGCAAATTTTATAGTTATTGCTTTTAATAATCATAATATTCCACTGAGCAAATATGATATGGGTTGTGAATTTTTATGTGGTGAGGTGAACATTTTCCTAGAAGGAGGGCTTTACTTCCAAGGAACTAAGAATTCTTTTTTAAAGGAGTAAGAAAAGTAATTTTTAGGAGGAGAAATGTAAGAAAAATGAATACCACCACCACAAAATAATCTCTTACAGAATTAGTACAGGTTACTGAACACTCCCATATCCTCTTTCCATTTACTACCAATTCTCCTTTTGGACATTATAGTTACCCCTATTTTTTGGTTATAAAATAATATCTCAATCAAATCTTCATAAAGATTTGCCATGAAAATATTTTGCCAACTTAAATCAAGATTCATCGTCTAATTCAAAACAGAACTGTCCCAGAAAATTCAGGATATGGGAATATTATATGCATCTAGCAATTCTACTTTTAGGGCTTTTTGTCTTAAAACAGTATCTTGAAAAAGAGATGATTATTCAGTTCAAAAGGCAGAAATGCGTTTGTAAATTTTGGCATGAACATTTCAGAAGGAGAAATATTTGCTCCTTTGATATAAGAAGTTGTCAAACTCCTCATTCAATCTTACTACAGAAACTGACATATATTTCTCACTTATACAGCCCCATGGGATGTTTCCTATTTCTACATCCTTTTCCAGGGAATGTGATTATTTAATTTCCTGAGCTTGATCAGAAAAGACGTCAAGAAGAACGACTGGCAATATTTCCACTATAATATCACAATTCCTTGTCTTTGATCACTAAGTTAATATCTTTATGCAGCCACTAGCTTTTCAACAGTTTTGTCTTATAATTCCAAATATTATGATTGGTTCACAGTACTTTCCATAATGCTAAATTATTTACACTACAAATTAACATGCTGTATTTTTTCAAATCCAAACTATATCCTTGAGAGAGAAAGAGGGGAAGAGAAAAAGAGTATTAGGGATGGCAATAAAAAGGATAGAAATTTCTTCCCCCCTCAGCTTTTAGACTTTCAAAAGAGCACAATAGGGTAACATTTAAAAATAACTGTGCTGGTTAGTGGTTTCCTCAAGGGAAATGAAAATAGACAGTCAGCATTTTTTACTTTTAAATTTGAATCATGAGTTTATTAGCTACGACCACACTCTCTACCACTAAAGAAGGAAAGGGCCAGCACATTGGAATCACGTAGGTTGATTTCAAATCTAAATTATTTGGCTTTTTTGCCTTGAATTGTTTAATCAAAAAAAAAAATAGAGCTAATAATAATATGTCAGAGAGTGGCTGAGATGAATAAATGAGATGAATCAGAATACCATATTATACATATTGTGTATGGAATCAATTTCAATTAATATTATTCATGTTTTTCATTTTAAAACCCTTTGCATTTATAAAACACTTTCACATAGATGCTCAGTTAAATTTTGCAGTTTCTGTCACTTAAGTAGGGTAGATATTTCCATATTTATTTTATAAATGAGACTCAAAGAAAGCAAATACATCGTCGAAGGTCATGTTCAGTAAGTGAAGGAATTAGTTCTGACTAGGAGTTCAGTCACCTTTCTGCTGTACCATGTGTCCACTCCTAGGAACTATGGCTGAGTCCTCTGTGTCTGCCTTCAGCACGATGTGGCCATGCTGACCAAAGAGCAGGATTTATGAAGGACAAATGAGTGTAGGATAACACAAAGGAATTTCTTCTCAGCTATTTTGGGAGAAAAACTACACAAATTATATGAAAATATTTAATATGTAAAATATGTATTGAGTGAAAAAGGAAGACCGTGAAACGTTATTATATAATTTTACATAGAGTCATGATGTGGGTAACTTAGATTGTTTATTTCCTCTTTTATGTTAACATCTGTCTAAATTTTCCATGATAAAAATGTATGTTACTTCTAATTTGGGTGTGGAACTTAGAAAACTAATATCTAGGAATGAATACATAACTTCGAGCAATGCTTTTAGACACCACCTACCTAAGCTTCCCTGCTACTCTGTGCATAAGAAATAAATACTGCTGCAGCTAGGATAACCTTTATAATGTTATCTTTGCAGAGCTTCTCAGAGACTTTTCCATGTGGGCGTTTTGTAGAGAAGTGGACATTTAGGACCCTAGTAACTGTATTTCTCTCAGAGTCAGCTCTTTCTGTACAGGGATAAGGAATCTGTGGCTGCAAACTCTGACTTTGCAATTTTCATTCTAAATGCTTGGAAGAGAAGTAAAGAAAAACAATGGAGGGAAATACCATGCAGTCACATGAATCGCTAATGAAACTTCCCAAACAGGAATGTTTTCCCCAGGAACTTCTATCTATATCTGTCTCTGCCCTGAGCCCCATGCTTATCACTAGCATAAGCACCAGTTTTCATTAAAAGTTTAAATAATTATGCTTTGTATACCTACCCACTATTTATCTGTGGTTTTTTATAACAATATATCTTAAATCATCACCCCTTTCAAATAAGTCATTTATTTGTCAAAATATACATTTAATCATCTTAATAAAAACAGATCCATTTTTTTAATGAAAATTCAACTATCTCCAAAGAAGAATCCAGGATTTAAGGAACTGTATTACTTAATAAATAGTAATTATTGTGGAATAATACTAACTTTTTATTAAGTAATAATTATTAAGGAATAAATAATAACTTTTTATCAAATATTGCAGCTACTCCACTTATTACCCACCGAAGTGTTAGAAACAAAAAGGAAACTCAGCTTCTGTCCAATGACCCAGAATTATCATGTGCATTAAGCTTAGATTGAACTACCTAGAATAGAAGCTCAAGTAACAAGACATAGTGGTTAGATGTCTGCTTTCTCCCCCCTCACCTCTGTCTTATTAATACTTCTAAGAGGTCCATGGCAACCTGGAGATAGCAGTTCTAAGACACCATTGGGCACCCTGGCTCTTCTGCAGTTTTCAGGAATCCTTCTTAATATATGTTTCCTTTCTCAAGGCCACCTTATTATCTGAAGATGACAGCAAAAGCTTCAGTCAGCAAAAAGAGGCAAACCTGTGACCTACTTGTGTTATTGCCTTCACATAAGTGTGTCAAGTAACGACTCCTATAAACAAGAGACGCTGCACCATTTAGTTTCTTAAACTAGGCACATTGTTATCAGAATAAAATTGAGATTGTATTAGGCACAAAATAAGAAATATAATGATAAAAGTTTAGAAGTGGCTTCTTTTCTTAGAAGTCTTACTTTAGGAGGTTGATATTTTACTTACATAAATCTTTTTTTTATTTTTTTAGTTGCAGGTGGACAAATACCTTTATTTTGTTGCTTTTATTTTTATGTGGTGCTGAAGATGGAACCCAGTGCCTCACATGTGTGAGGCAAGCACTCTACCATGGAGCCACAACCCCAGCCCCACATAAATCTTCATATACAAATAAACAACAAGATAAACAAGTTTAATAGGAAAGATTTCAAAGACAAAATTTTAATCAGCAAAAAAAATTATTTTCTGGAGTTTAAGATTTTGTAGTAAAAACTCATAAATATGTGTGGAAAAATAAACTTAACTTTGTTTCCTAATTTTCAATAGAACAAAAATCCTTCACATGGTATTTGAAAACTGAATGCATGAAAAAAGAGATGAGAAAACTATTCAAATATCTACAAAATCAAACTTGCAACAGACATTGTTATTATAAGAGCAGAAGCAAAATAATATCAAAATTTGTTTCACTCAAATCAAAGGAGATATGAATCTAAATCTGGGGGTCTTTCTCGTATTGGGATATTAAATAATCAACACTTAGTTATGATTTTATGACTTTCTTCCCAGAAATTTCCCCATGGCTCAAATGCTCTGGAAAAGAAGATCCTACCATTTGGAGAGAAATCAGCCTTTCCCTTCTTTTACTCTGCACTTCCAACCTCAGTGGCAAAGTCAAGTTCCCTCCAATAACGTTGTGTGTCCCTCTTTAATCCTCCTGCTTTAAGTCTTGCTGGGTAGTGATATTGGCCAAATTATATTGTGTACATGTATGAATATGTAACAAATTCCATCATATAAGGCACCAATAAAAACTGTGGAAAAGAAAAGACTATTAGGAGCATGGGTGGGGAGGTTAGAGATAATGGAGTTGGTAGGTCACTGTTATATCAAGGAGGAAAGCGCTCCTGGAAAATAAAAGAGGACTTGTCCTTTCACATTTCAGGAGGATATGATATAAAGTGAGAACTGAAATCTCCAAACAGAAGAGGAAAGAGGAAACCATGAAATAGAAAAGGTCATGAGAAGAGAAAAGGAAGAGAAAATGATACAGTATGAGAGAAGTCAAGAGGTTCACAAAGCAATCACCTCTCTCTCTGGAACTTCCCACCCTGTAGCTATTAACAGGAGTGTCATACTGATGTGTGACCCAACAGAGGCCCTTGTGGAGAAAAGAATTGCAGGAGAAAAGGTCTTTTCTCCTTTGCTGCAGGAGAAGATGAGAAAGAATCCTTCCTGAGGAGTTTCAGCTCCTTGTTTCTGCTGACCCCAATTTCCTGTGCTCAGAGATAAACTTGCTATTGCCCTTGTGCCAGGTGAGTTTTGTGGACAAGATAGAAGAGCAATTGGTAGAACTGACAGGGAAGAAAGAGATTAGCCCCTAAAGGAAGAACTTGTCTCTCTTCTGGGGAAGCCAGCAGCAGGAGGTAGAAAGGGCCCAGGAGAGCTTAAGGGGAATGTTTGGAAAAGTTTTGCTACAATTTAACTGGCCAAATGAGGAACTGTCATTTATGGAGGATAGATATAAGTATGCCAGAGGTCAATACCATTAAACCTGATCTCCTGAGGAAAAAAGAGTACTCAGCAGCTCAGAATTCTAAATGTCCCAAGGCCATTGTGTCTCTTTGGCCTGAGAGATAGTCTAGCCCCTAAAATCTCCCTACATATTAGAATAGAGAGGGAAAGCCTGTGGGAGACCAACCTTGCAAGTGACTGAGTCACACTCCCCGGTTGGGTGCTGAGGCACTTAGTCACAGAAATGTGGCAGAGCTTTCCCCACCCTTCTTGGGCTGGAGGGTCGGTGTCTCATGCATGGGTGTGTCTTGCTACAGCCCCATGGGTGAAGCTACACTCACCTGTCCCTTTGTAATACAACCCATTGCCCTGTTTAGGATAGAATCTTCCATGGAATTGCCTTGTGTGTGTCCCCTTCTCTTACTGTGCCCTTGGGTGTGGCCTACCAGATGTCAGTCAACCTGCTGACAGTGGACATCATGAAGATAGACTCAGGCCCCTGAAACCTGACCCCTTGCCTCATTTGAATAGCTTCTCCTCAATAAAATGGGTCAGTGAATGCTCTCTCTCTCTCTCTCTCTCTCTCTCTCTCTCTCTCTTCCTGCGGACCCTTAAGGTCACCCATCACAGTGACCCCAAAGAAAAAGGTATTTGTGTCTCTTGTGTGGTTATTTCATGCAGCCCAGTTAGCCCAGTTCAACTGGAGTGATCCCTGAGCCTTTTAGTCGCGAGAACAGAAACCCGGCAAAAGCCCCAAACTAACAGGACATGCTATGTGACTTATCAAGGTTCAAGAAACATCTTTCAAAAATGTAGGGAACCACCATGGAAAGATAAGGACAGGGCATCAAGGGTAGCAAATGCCATAAACTATAAGGCTGAGTCATCCAGACGAAGATTCCCAGGCCTCCTCTCAGGCCTCCTCTGAGCTTCTTGCTGAAGTCTGAGGAGCTGTGACTACGATGCTCTAGCAACTGAAAGGGTATTTCTGGAGGAGAGGCAGCAGCAGTGCTGGAGAGCCAGGTTTTCAATCCCACTTAGGCAAATCATTGTCATGAGAGCTTAAGGGAAAGATGGAGAAGTTCATGTTTTCAATACAAAATCCTCCTTTGGGTGTCAGTTACACTCTTAGGAGATCAATGCCCTTCACTTGTGCCTAACTGCTATGGCTCATGCCCAGAGCACCAGTTTGCTCTCCTGCCTAGTTTCATTCTTTCAGGGTCCTAAACAGGAAATGTGTGATTACTACTCATTTCATAATGGTCAGTCTGAGCCTTAACCATAAAAGAGAAATAAGTAAACTGAGAAAAGGGTCAATGAAAACTTCTATGGTTACCAGAGTCCTAGGACAGAGGTCTGACTCTAAAGGCCCCAAGAAAACTGGTCTGACCACTCACCCCAAAAAACAAAGAGAAAAGATAACAGTAAAAAGAAGGAAAAGAACTTTAATCAATATGATCATACTGGGAAGGCAAAGTGAGATCCAGCATCTCAGCCCCAACTTCAGGTTGATGACATGAGCTGTAGGTTTCAATAGAGGAAGAAATGGAGCAGTCGGCAAGAAGTCTACATAGTTAAGCTGTTTTGGTTAAAGTGTGGTCTTGTTGATAATTTTCTCAGCTCTTATTCTACAACATGGCTCTGAAGAAGCTCTTTATCACTTGGAAGGGGCAATTTCCACTTGTTGCTAAGGATGTTTATCTGGAAGGCTTCTGATCCTGGAAGGGCATGATTCAGTTCCCCTTAGATGATGGCTCCTGCTTAGGGGAGCAGTCTTATCCTGGGTTGATGTGCCTGCAAGGCTCCATTGCACAGAACAATGACTGCAGACTTCTAGGCCCCACTCCAAAGGTCTTAAATATGATGATACAAATCTTACATCAGTCTTGAAGCTGGACAAGATAAACTAGGTAAACTTAAGGCTAAGTTTACCTAGTTATTAGATGAGCACTCCTTAAATGATCAACAAGCCTACCTGCAGAGCCCAGCAGAGGCCTGACTCACAGTTTAAGGTAATAAACTGAAGGCAGGGATGTCAAGCTTTATGCTGCTTTCAGTTATCCATGGGGTATCTGCAAGTCTAAGTAAAGGGTCACTGCTTTTAGCACAGTCAGTCCTTGTCCCTGTTACCCCAATTTCAGCATTGTGTTCTGAACACAAAAGTATTAAGACTATGGTTTCTTTAATTACTTTTTCAACTTCTTACCCTGCTTATTTCACCTGCTTTTTTGAATATTTTGCCTGAGGTAGCTTTTGGGACTACTTTCCAAAAACTCTTCAGTAGAATTCATTTGGAATGTTTCCTTAGTCCTGCCTGCATTCTATTTCTTCAATCGTGGCCAAGTAACTTGGCTTCTTTGACAGTCAACTGCCTTGTAAGTAAAATAAGACAGTGGGCCCACATACACCACATAGTTTCAGATTAAATAAGAGTGTATATTAATGTCCTTTTATGTTTGAATCATCACCACTTTTTCCTCTTTCAGTCCACTCTGTAGTGGACAGTTAAATTTGCTGCCTTGTCTTGGAATGAACGCATTCATGGTTGAGGGCTCCCCTCCAAAGGACTTAGTAACCTGAGCTAATCATCCCCAGCAGGAAGATAGGGAAGTGTTATCAGTTTCTCCCCTGGATCTACCACAGATTCTGACTTTTTTTTTTTTTTTTTTTGCTTCCGTCTCTGGGTTTCTGTTCCCTTGCGTGGAGTAACACATGAATGAGCATAATTTGAGTTTCCTACTTGATCAAATGTCTAATTCATATCATATATTTTTCTTCAATATGTCTTCAAAATCCCAAGGATGCTCTGTGTATTAGAAGGGTCTGAGACTAGTGTTATCCATTACTGTAGGATTTGACACTCTTATTCTTTCTCCTCTTATCCTAGAAGCAATGTCAAAGATGGAAAGACGTCTGGTCTCTGCAGTCCTCCCTCTCTTACTGCTGGACTTGATGGATTGTGATCTCAAGAGCCAGGCATGGACTGTCCCTGACTGTACCATAGCAGATAGCTCCCTATTGTCAAATCTCTCCTTCTACATCCCATTTTGTCCCTTGGCCCCAGGGCTGCATACTTTTGCATCATGCTCCAATGTTACAGACCTGACACAGACCCTGAGAGCAGTGCCCCAGGATATACAGGCACTTTGCCTCCAGGGCATGGTTCCTGTCCTGCCAGCTAATGCATTTGGTCACTTCTCCTTCCTACAGCTTTTGAGGCTACAGCTGGGCACCCTCAAGATTACATCTGAGGCCTTTCAAGGATTGAATCGGCTGCAGTACCTTTCCTTTGAGCATCATGCTCCCTGTTGCTTGAGTCTATTTCTCCCTCCAGATGCCCTGGTGCCTCTCACATTCCTCAGTAGTCTTTCCTTTCAAGGCTACTGCCTGAATTATAGCCAGAACATCCAGTTGCCAATCAGCCTTAGGCATCTAACCCTGGGGCACAGCTGTTTGATGGAGCTGCAGGAGCTACAAGTGCTCTTCTCAAACCTTGTGCTTAGTTTTTCTCCTACAGCCAGCCCCAGATCATGGTCTTCCTTCCTAGAGGTGTTGGATTTGTCTTACAACCTGAAGCTGAACCAGGCAGGTGTCAGAGCCTTGAATGGCCTCCAGCTCCATTCCCTGAGATTGGATGGCACCCCATTAAATGCATTAGGTCTTTTAGGCTCAGGACTGCTCCATCTGGACTTTCTGTCCCTTGTGGGTACAGGTATGGAAAAACTGCCTGGGAATGTGTCAGGCTATTTTGAGCTTCGAGCACTTGACCTTGGGAGAAATCGAATCCAAAACATAGAGGATGGAGATCTCTCAAGCTGCCGTTCCTTAGAACATCTCAGCCTTTACAGCAATGGCCTGAAATTGCTTCCCATAAAGTTTCTAAATGCCCTGCCCCAGCTTCAAAGTCTCAACCTATCCATGAAGAAGCTGGGTCCAACCTTGGTGCTCCCAGATGGGCTGGTTAGCACAAACTTGAGAGTGCTAGATCTGTCCAACAATGAGTTATGTGTTCTGCCCTATGGAGCCTTCTCCTTTATTCCTCAACTCGAGGAGCTGTGGCTGAGTGGCAACAACATCTCCAACTTATCCAGTGAGAGCCTGGAGGGACTAAAGCAGCTGAAGACACTAGACCTGAGCTGGAACAAAATTAAGGTGCTAAAACCAGGCTGGCTCTCCTTTCTCCCTGCTCTCACCTCACTGAACCTGCTGGGCACCTATTTAAGTCATATCCCAGGCAAGGAGCTCCAGGGTCCCCAGAGGCTGAGCCATCTGCAGCTGGGTTCACTTCAGATGCTGGACCTCTATCCTCCCTGGCCTCCAGCTCTGCTCAGCTTAGAGATATGGGCAGAAACAGGTATCTGGTTTAATAACTTCAATGAAGAGCCCTTCTTGTTCCTGGAGAAGCTGATCTTACAAACTTCCAACGTGGTACTGTCTCCATACAACACCTCAGTTCATTTTCCTTCCCTGCGTCATCTCACTCTTCGAGGCGTAAGTTTCTTTGGTTTCTCAGGTCAACGGTCTCAGAGATCCTTCCCTCAGTTTCCTGTCCTGGAGCACCTGCACTTCTGGTCTGATTATGGGAGTACAGAAAACCTGGAACTATCTGGGATGCCCAAGCTTCGAGTGCTCGAGCTCGGAGATCTGAATTTCCACTATGAGTCAAGGTCAACGAAGCTGGAGCTGGTACTGCAGGAAGTGACTCAGTTACAGGTGCTGGCATTGAGCCACCTGAATCTTGGGAACCTCTCCATGTCTAGTTTCAAGGACTTGGACCACCTGCAGCTACTGCTGTTCAACTCTGAATGGATGCTGGGGTTAGACAGCAGCCTTCAGGAGTTAATCCCCCAGATGCCTCAATATGTTTATTTCTCAGATGTCACCTTCACCTGCCAGTGTGAAAGCTCCTGGGTGGGGCCTTGGGCAACACAGGCCCCCAACACCTTTGTGTATGGGCTGGAGAAATCCATCTGCATGGCCAATGCTTCTGACTACTCCAAGACTCCACTGCTCTCCTTCCTTTCTCATCAGTGTGCACATGATCTTGAGTTTCAGGGCTTTCTTGCCAGCTTGACTATGGTGCTTCTGTTCACTATCCTTGTACTCCTTGGCTGCCCCAAATGGTCCTGGCTTCACCACCTCCGGACTCTTTTTCATGTGTGGTGGTGGAAACTATGTGGGCGTGGCCCCAGAAGCCAATTCCACTATGATGTCTTTATATCCTACTGTGAGCAGGACCAAGACTGGGTGCTGGAAGAACTGGTTCCTACACTGGAGAAGTCTCCTCCAGCAGGTGAGGGCTTGAGGCTGTGCCTGCCAGAGAGGGACTTTGGGGTTGGGCAGGACAGGATGGATGCCCTGGTTGCCAGCATGGAGAACTGCAGGGCCATCCTCTGTGTACTCAGCAACAAAGCCCTGGGGAGTCCCCGGTGCCATCTGGAGTTAAGGCTTGCCACCTATCACTTGGTGGCCAGACCTGGAACAGCTTGCCTCCTGCTGCTGTTTCTGGAGCCTATTGATCCGCGGAAGCTCTGCGGCTATCACCGACTCACCAGGTGGCTTCAAAAAGAGGACTATTTTGATTTGCCTCAAGGGAGAGTGGAGTGGGATGTTTTCTGTGAGCAACTTCGGAAAAGGCTAAGGAAAGCTGGACAAGAAAGAGATGATTAAGGGTTTGAGAGATCTAACCATACAGGAATATCTTAGCAGTGACCTGGATGCCATCATGTGGTCTGAGGGCAGGCTTGACCAGGGGGTCTGAGGTGATACTTACTTCAAATCTATTAAAATGATACAAATGAAGATAGCAATTTCTAGTGAGAAAACATTTTAAAGTACTAGAAATAAGATATTCATTCATAGGACAGTTATGATACCGGCTAGGCCTTTCACAGCACAAAATATCCCTCAAAAAGCAAATACACAAAAAATTGATTTTAGAATCTCATGTGTGTTTTTCAAAATAAATTCATTCTGCCTCTGTTAAAAGCAAGATGTTCACTCATTTGTTAAAAAGCTATACTATTCCAGAGGAATGGGACAAGAATCTATGGGTATCTGTCAGTGTTCTGAAGCTAAATTGAAATCATGCATGTGACTTACCAAAGGTCCAACAAATTCAGTTCTCCTAATTCCTGAGGTTCTCCCAATGACAGGATTTTATGAATGATGGTTTTTACCCCATAGTACACATGAGGAATCTAAATAAATGAAGTTAAGTGGCTTTCTGTTCTATTACAGTTCCTGTATCAAAAAGTTTGGATCTAGTGTTGCTCTAAGTCACAATCCAGTACTCTGCTCTCCACTATTTCCACTTACTTCTAACCAATGACATCTGACCTTGCCACCAAGTTAAAATAGGCAAAAATGGGGTAAACCTGGTCAAAATAACACACATATCTATTTATATGAATTTTTTCTCATATTCTCAGAAACTGCATAAAATAAGTGCCCTGAAACAGAAGGATAAAGTACAATGATGAAAGATGGAATATCCTGCATTCATTAAGAATCATGCTCCAAGGATATTTAGTGCTATGGGAAGAGAACCAAAATATAATATCAAATAAAAAACATTGGCAAATCGTGTGTGCTATAATTCCAAATATGAAAATAATTGCTTCTGTATTTAATGTATGAAATATGAAGACAGAAAGAGACTAGAAATGTAAAATTTTAAAAATGGCCCTGGTAAAAGCCCTATGAATAATTTAAACTTCTAATCCTTTTCTGCTCTCCATTTTTTTTTCTGAAATAAACGTGTTACTTTTGTAATAGTAAAAATAAAATAAATTATCTTTCAAAAATGAAAAAACAACTTAGTATAGACTAATTAGTTTAACAATCTACTTTCTGTTGGCACAACTGTGTCCTTTACTACCAGATATCTAAACTCATTATAAAGCTATACTAATTTAGAGAATGTGCTACTGATACAATAAGTACAAAAAGCCAGATATTATCAAACAAGGATTCCAGAAACCAACTCATGTACACACATACCTTTAGTTTATGATAAAGGAACTTCTTAGTGGAGGTAAAAGAAGGTCTTTTCCATCTAAAATATATATATATGAAAGGTCAAATGGATTTCTATATGAAAAAGTAAAATTTAACCACAACTTCATACCACACACAGAAAGTAGAGCCAAGGCAGATTGCAGATTTTAAATGTGGAAAGTGAGATATTAAACTTTCTGGAAAATAAAGTAAAATGTTTTCATGACTTTGAAATAAGCAAAAAATAATAATTATAAATGAACTGGACTAATAAATCAGAAGAATTAAAATTTAAAATTTCTGTTTATTAAAATAAAATTAAGGTCTGGGGTTGTGGATCAGTGGTACAGCACTTGCCTAGCATGCATGAGGCACTGGGTTCAATTCTCAGCACCACATATAAATAAATAAAACAAAAAAGATCCATCAACACACAAAAAAAATTTTTTTTAAAAATTATAAATAAATAAAATTGAGGGGCTGGAGTTGTGGCTCAGTGGTAAAGTGCTTTCCTAGCACATGAAAGGCATTCAGTTCAATCCTCAGCAACACATAAAAATAAATAAATAAAATAAAGGTAAAAAAATAAATAAATAAAGGTAAGAAAAATGAGAATGGAAAATCAATCCACACAGATAGGAGAAAACATCTGTAATAGATGTAACTGACAAAAGGCTTATGTCTAAAATATATTTTTATTAACACATTAATTATATATATTAGTAGCATTCTGTGTGATATTTCCACATATGTACATGTGTCGATTATGTCCAACCACTTTTATTCCAGCCTCACCACCCACTCTCACTCCAATACCCTCCCCAGTTTCTACTAATCACTCTTCTACTTTCAGATCAATTTCAGTTGCTTTCCATATATGGGAGAGTGCATGTGGTACTTGCCTTTTTCTGTCTGGCTTATTTCATTTTAGATAACCTCCTCCAGTTCAATCAATTTTGCTGCAAATGCCAGGATTTCATTCTTCTTTATAATCTAATGATATACCGTTGTGTATATACACTTTGTCTTCCCAATTTAACTTCAGTATTTGACAGTGTATTCTCTTGTATCTCATTGAGCTTTTTTATAATAATTGAAATTTTTTATCAGGCATTTCATTCGCTCAAATTTCTTTGGAGTCTAATGTTAAAGCATCATAATCTTTCAGAGGTGTCACATTATCTTGATGTTTTTATATCCCTTATGTTCCTACATTGAGATCTGCAGAATTTGGTAACTCAGATATCTCTACCACTTTCATGGGATGGCTTTCTTAGTCAGCAGCTTTCTCCTAAAGACGTGTCTTGGGTTGTCTGTTTGTTATGCAGTGTTGGCTTTATTTCCAACTGGGCATCATAGTGTCATCTCCCTGTAGCTTCCTTGACTGTTGTAAGTGAATTTGGGGACAATGTGTTATATGTCAGAGACCACGGTCTCTGTAGGACACTCTAGCAGCTGAGCTGTACAAAACAGAGAGTGTAGGGTGCACAATGTTTGGCTACTCCTCCAATAGGAGTGCTGACACCTACTTGGTGATGTGTTTCCTCTGGAACTGCTGATGTTGGCTCTGTTACTTGTAAGGATTTCTGGCAATGACTGAACCAGTTGTGTTTCTGAAACACTGAGGGGTCTGAAGCACTAGGACTCTGGTCAGACAGAGGTGCATGCCCAAGCACTTCGTGAGAAGAGGTGGTGACAGGAACCAAGCACCCTCTCTGTGTTGCTCACACACAGTCCTAACAGCAGTGTGTGGTCAGTCAAGGTGTGTGGCAGCCAGCAATTGGTGTGGCAGCAGCAGGACCTGTAGTGCTCCCTCTGTTGCTACTATTAGAGTGCCAACCCAGGAGCAGAACCTTGGACCCTCTAGCCTTGCATGCCTGGAGTCGGGACAACTATGGGGGCTTTTCTGAATCTTTAAGCTGCAGGTCCCACCAGGAAGCAAATGGGAGCTAAACATGACTAAGGCAGGCAAAATTCTCTCAGGGCCTTGTGTACCCAGGAACAGGGTGACTGCTAAGGGTTTTCTCTTCCTGACTCCTTCAATTGAAATGCCCACAAGAGGTATCAGGATGTAGCCAGAGCTAGGCAAACTTTCGCTGTATACCTCTTTTGGCTATGCTCCCACAGTGTTGCTCAAGTTCCCCTCAGCACATTCCTGTGGGGAGCAGTCAGGGAACCATGATATTCCTTCCCCACCCTGTTAGTAGCAGGTACCTGTGCACAGGGCAGGAGGAAGGAGCAAAGAGAACTGCTACTACCTTCAGTCTTGGCGCAAACATGAACCTGCATGAGACTGGCCACACCTCTGATCTCAGAGGGCAAGATCCCTCATCTCCTGTTTCTTTAAGGCAATGCTTCCCAACCGCTCCTATGTCCCAATACCAATCCCCTACAGTGCAGGGCCCCCAACAAGGCTGGTCAGAGTCACTCTGATGGGCTTAGTCAGGCTTGTTAGGCAGGTATCCACTGACCCAATGGAGTGGAATATCTGTTGAGACCCAGAGATAGGCATATGCAGGGGCTTCAGACCCATAGAGCAGTCCAAATTCAGACAATAGGTCCTTTCTCCAGATAGCTCCTGGCTACCATACCAGGTAGAGTGGGAGAGGATGTCTTCCAAGCCAGATTGCTGTGTGAATTTCAGGCCTATTATCTGTTTAGGCTGTAGGCCTATTACAGCAACAAAATTTTCCAACAGCTAACATCGCCAGTATCTGTACTTAAGGAGCTTTCTGGGACAATCTCTTTCACCCTTACCCCTGAAGAGGTGACATTCCCCCACCCCAGATTTGGAGCTGGGAAGACAGGTGCTGGAATATTTTGTTTCTCTCACTATGCCATTTTCATTTGTCTCTGTGTCTTACAAGCTCCCAGTCTCTCTCTCGCTGATCTCCAGTAGTCTCCCATGAACACTCACCTCAAAATGAGGCCATACATGTGTTGCTTTGATTCTCCTTTGTAGAGAGGAGGGGAAGGCTAGATGCCTCTATTCAGTCATCTTGAAATCTCTACTTCCTGGATTTCATTTCCCAGCTTGCAAGATGTCCTGAGGTTTTCTCTGTAGATCTCTGCACACCTGCAGGTCAAGAGTGGCAGAGACCAAGGGTAGAGAAACCTGGACATCCTGGAGCAGAGAAAACAGAGCCTTCAGAATACATTTTTTAAAGTTTTAAAGTAATAATATGATCTCAATAAAAAGAAAAACAGGCAAGATTCTGAAAAATCATTTCTGAAAAAGAATACATCCAAACAATAAACAAATATAAGAAAATGTGCTCAAACATATTAGTTATAAAGAAAATCCAAATTAAAACTGCAATGAGATATGGCTACATATATTCTGAAATATTTTTTGTTTTAAAAACTGAAATAATAAAGAACTGGGAAAAGATATATAATAATGGGAATTATCATGTATTACTCATGGAAGTGTACCTTGGAGTAAATATTTTTAAAATAATTTCTAGCAGGTTATCTGTTAAAGTTGAACACATGCATTCTCTAGGATCCTGAAACTTTATATATATACAACATAAATTCTTGAAAGCATATGCTTAAATATATGCATATTATTCACAGTGGCATTTTCCATAGCAATTCAAAACTGAAAATAACCCAAATGTCCCATCAGCAATAGATCTATTTTTGTGGTATAAGCATTCAAAAGAATATTAAACGGCCATGAAAATCAATGAACTATAGTTATACAAAAGTTCAAAGGTAAAGAAATATTATACAGTGATGAAAATCCATGAAGTGTCATTTTACTTTAATATATGAACATGCACAGATAAATATCAGAAATGTATGAGTGAAAGATTCCAGATACTATGCACATATATCATTTCATTAATGCATATTTCTAAAACATACAAATTTACAGAAGATGATAGTTTTTTTTTTCCTTTGCTTTTATTAGTGCACCTTACTTAAATGTAATAGTTGATTTCAATTTAACAAACTCATACATGAACGGAATTTAATTTTCTCCATTACACTCCCTGGTGCTCCCCATTTCTCTCTCCTGTCTTCTCCTATTCCCCTTCTTCTACCCTACTGGTCTTCCTTTCACTCATTCATTTATTTGGTGCTTTATAAACAAATGTAAAGGTGGAATTCACTGTGGTATATTTATACATGCACATAGTGTAATTTTGTCAATTTCATTCTTCTTTTATTTTTCTTACCCATCTCTCCTCTCTCCCTCTCAATCTTCTTCTACTCCAACTGATCTCCCCTATACCTTTATGATAAGGTTGGTGGTTACTTTAGGAAGAAGAAAGAAGTTGTACTTAGAAGATCTTTAGGAAGAAGAAAGAAGTTGTACTTAGTGAGCTTTATTATATACACATTTTTTTAAGGTTCAAGGTTTTAAAACTTAAAAAGAAAACTTTTTTTATTGGTTGTTCAAAACATTACAAAGTTCATGACATATCATCTTTCATACATTTGATTCAAGTGGGTTATGAACTCCCATTTTTACCCCAAATACAAATTGCAGAATCACATCGGTTACACATTCACATTTTTATATAATGCCATATTAGTGACTGTTGTATTCTGCTACCTTTCCTATCCCATACTATCCCCCCTCCCCTCCCCTACCATCTTCCCTCTCTACCTCATCTGCTGTTGTTCGATTCTCTCCTTTGTTTTTCCCCCCATTTCCCCTCACAACCTCTTATATGTAATTTTGTGTAACATTGAGGGTCTCCTTCCATTTCCATACAATTTCCCTTCTCTCTCCCTTTCCC